TCTTCTCTAGCTATAATTCTTATGCCAACCCTTCTGCTATCACCATTGCGGATGGTTCCCACTCTCGTGTACTTGGATCTGGCACTGTTAAACCTACTCCTTCTATTCATTTAAAATCTGTCCTCAATGTCCCGAATCTTGCTTTTAACCTTTTGTCCCCTAGCAAGCTTACTCACCAGTTAAATTGTTGGGTCTCACTTTTTCCTGACCATTGCTTGATTCAGGATCTTTTGACGAAGAAGATTATTGGTAGGGGCTACGAATCTGGCGGGCATTACTTCCTTGATGATCAGGGGTCTCGTGCGGTGGCTTGTACTGGTGGTGTCACTCCATTTGAAGCACATTGTCATTTGGGTCATTTATCTTTATCCTCTTTAAAAAAGGTTTATCCTCAGTTTCAACATTTGTCATCTTTAGATTGTGAGTCGTGTCAGTTTGCTAAACATCATCGTCTACCGTTAGTGTCCAGAGTCAATAAACGGGCTTCGTCCCCTTTTGAGTTAGTGCACTCCGATATTTGGGATTCGTGTCCAGTTGAGTCTAAAGGTGGTTTTAAATATTTTGTCACATTTGTTGATGATTATTCTCGTACCACTTGGTTATATTTAATGAAAAATCGTTCTGAGCTTTTCTCTCACTTTTGTACTTTTGTTGCCGAAATTAAAACTCAATTCAATACACTTGTCCAAACCTTGCGCAGTGATAATGCTAAAGAATATTTTTCTGAATCCTTTCGCTCTTTTATGCTTCAACACGGCATTCTTCATCAATCCTCCTGTGTGGATACACCAGCTCAGAATGGTGTTGCCGAAAGAAAAAATCGTCACTTATTAGAAGTGGCCCGTGCACTTTTATTTCAAATGCAGGTTCCAAAACCATTCTGGGCAGATGCGGTCTCCACAGCTTGCTTTCTTATTAATCGCATGCCCTCCTCTGTCCTTGATGGTAACATTCCCTACACCACTCTCTTTCCTTCCAAAGCTTTGTTCCCTATTGATCCTAAGATCTTTGGCTGTGTTTGTTTTGTTCGAGATGTGCGTCCCACGGTCTCCAAATTGGACCCCAAGTCTCTTAAATGTGTCTTTCTTGGCTACTCTCGAGTTCAAAAAGGTTATCGATGTTTTTCTCCTACTCTGAATCGTTATCTGGTTTCAGCTGATGTCACTTTTCAGGAATCTGTTGCCTACTTTGCATTTAATGCTTCCGCTTCTCCTTCTCCACCGGTGGAGGAGGATACCTTTCTAGTATATTCTGTTAGTCCAAGCTCACCACCAGCACCAGCTCCCGTATTGGCACCTGGTCAACCACCTTTGTCTCGGTTCTACACCAGACGTTTGAAGGAAACTACCCCTACTGTTGCGCCACATTCGGCTCTACCATTCTCTGCTTCGTCATCTGATCCTGCAGCAAGCATCATGCACCCTGAGCCTGACCCTGTTCCAGGTCTAGATGCCGATCCCTCAATTGACTCTGAGACACCTCCTGTTCTAGATCCAGATCCCTCCCTTGATTTGCCCATTGCCCTTCGCAAAGGTAAACGTACTTGTGCCCATCCTATTTCTTCCTTTGTTTCATATAACCACCTCCCCTCTGTTTCTCGTGCCTTTGTTGCCTCTTTAGATACTATTTCAGTACCTAAGTCCCTTCAAGAAGCCTTGTCCCACCCGGGTTGGCGTACTGCTATGGAAGAAGAGATGGCAGCCCTTCATTGTGCTGGCATATGGACCTTAGTAGATTTACCAGCAGGAAAGAAAGCTATTTGGTGTAAATGGGTGTTGACCCCTAAAGTTAAGGCAGATGGTACACTTGAATGCCTCAAGGCTCGCCTTGTCGCAAAAGGCTATGCTCAAAAGTATGGTATTGACTACTCTGAGACTTTTTCCCCTGTGGCCAAGCTCTCTTCTGTTCGTCTGTTCATCTCCATGGCTGCTACCTATAGTTGGGATCTCCATCAATTAGATATCAAAAATGCATTCTTGAACAGTGATCTCCTTGAAGAAGTGTACATGGAGCAACTACCAGGTTTTGTTGCTCAGGGAGCATGGGAAGGTGTGTCGCCTTAAGATATCACTTTATGGCTTAAAGCAAAGTCCTCGTGCATGGTTTGACAGATTTAGTACTGTTGTGAAGAACTTTGGCCTGCACCAGAGTAAGTGTGATCATTCTGTGTTCTATCAGCGAACAAGTGCTGGCATGATCCTATTGGTTGTGTATGTCGATGACATTGTGATTACAGGAAACAATGCCTCGGGGATCTCATCTCTCAAGTCGTTCCTTAACTCACATTTCCAAACGAAGGATCTGGGTTCATTTAAGTATTTTCTGGGAATTGAAGTCATGAGGAGCAAGAAAGGCATCTTATTGACTCAGAGAAAGTATGTTCTTGATCTGCTAAAAGAAACTGGGAAACTAGGAGCTGCCCCGACCAGCTTCCCTATGGTCTATAATCCTCTGCTTGATGCTGATGGTAGCATACCATGTGAAAATCCTGATGAGGCGGCTAAGAGCAAGCCATTTGAAAATCCAGAGAGGTATAGGAGACTGATTGGGAAATTGAATTACCTTACAGTGACCCGTCCTGATATCACTTATCCAGTAAGTGTCCTTAGCCAATTTATGGTTGCGCCAACTGTCCGACAATGGGAAGCCTTAGAGCATGTGTTACACTACTTGAAGGGATCCCCGGGTCGTGGGATATTGTACAAGAATCATGGTCACACAGACATTGAGTATTTTTGTGATGCTGATCATGGCGGGTCGAAAGCCACGAGACGATCTACTACAGGATACTGTGTTTTTGTAGGAGGCAATTTGGTGTCCTGGAAAAGCAAGAAACAGAATGTGGTGTCACGATCGAGCACAGAAGCGGAATACAGAGCCATGGCGCAATCTGTATGTGAGATAGTTTGGATATACCAGCTACTAAAAGAGGTTGGTCTTAAAACCTCGTTACCGGCAAAGCTGTGGTGTGATAATAAAGCAGCCCTACACATAGCTTCGAATTCAGTCTTTCATGAACGAACGAAACATATTGAGATTGACTGTCATTTCGTCCGAGACAAGCTCAAGGAAAACTTCATCTCTACAGGACATGTCAGATCCAGCGACCAGTTGGGTGATCTTCTCACCAAAGCTCTCAATGGGGTTCGAGTTGAATATCTTTGTAACAAGTTGGGCATGATTGACATCTATGCTCCAACTTGAGGGGGAGTGTAGAGATATTATAGGAGATATTATAAGATATGTAAATATCCTGTAATTAGTATATAGGATACGATATGATATGATTTCATATCAATGAGCCATTAATACCTAGGCTCCTCTATTGTATATAAATACCCAATCGAAGTATCAATAAAATACATCTTTCATTCTCCAAAAACTACAGTTCTGAAGCTTATGACAAGTACGTTTTGTATGACCTGGTTCTTTGCAATAATACCATAACACGCCATTTGAGTCATGATGGGCCCCCTTGCTTTGAACCACCACAAGTAGGTGTCCAATTATGGTGAGCAGGTGCCCCATGGTTATCACTGTGACTTCGATTGTCATTTTGGCCCCAATCGATCAAAGCACTTGCAGAAGTGCTAGCAGCTGGTGGTAAGAGATTATCAGCTCACATTATGTGAGAAAACACATCTTGAAGATTAGAAATCTCAGAGCTAGAGAATATTTGAGAGTGAACTGTCACATACTCAGGTGGGAGACCAGTGAGGAAACTCATGATAGCCATTTCCTTCCATTACTCATGTTGGATCTTCAAATCAACAGTAAGAGGCATTAACTTATTCATCTCTTCATACACCTTAAAGTCCATAAAATATGCCTTGAGAGGACAATCCTGCTTTTCTGTGTGATAGAAAACCTTGCAAACTTCGTAAACGCAAGAGATATTTCTCTTGCCTGAATACAAGAATTCTAGCTAGCCTATAAGTTCTTTAACAAATTTACAGTGATTAACAAAGGGAAGAATTTCACCATCAATAGAATTATGGATCTGGAAAAATAGTCGCGCAAAATAGTCTTGGGAGGATCATCCTTCAAATGATCTTTTTTCTCAATACTTCGCAGATAGAGTCGAATAGTTTTACTCCAATCCAAGTAGTTGGTCCAGGTCAACTTATCATCAGTAATTTTTGTAACAGTTGGAACAATCTCAGAAACAGATTTACGTTCAGTCATAATTATAATATTCAACAAAAGATCGTAGAGAGGAGACGTACGACCAAAGTGCCATACCAGGAGCATATAAGTCACCAAATAGAGGTAGATGGAACAAAAGCTACACCAACAGCTTAAGAACAGTGTACCACAAATAAGAAGCAAACAAATTCAACCTCATAGCATGGAACATGAGAGAGAGAGAGAGAGAGAGAGCCCAATTACCAAACGTTACTTCCAAACCTCAAAACCTTCACAAACAGGCCGGAAAAGTGGAGTCAATCTCAAAAAAGTAGAACGCCATTGGAAACCTCACCGAAAAAGACGATCACACGCTAGCGCGTGGGCAAACATACGAAGGACGTGACGACACATGAGGCCCACGCGACAGCAACAAAAATTTAGGGAATGGCTGATCGGGACCTTGTGCTCCTCCCTATCCGGCCCATACTTCCACTAGACGCTGAAATAACAGTGAGCACAAGGGCTGATGAAGAACTAGAAACGCAATTCGCAACCAGAGTCCGAAAACAAGAAAAAAAAATGACCCTAAAATGCCTGCTCTGATACCATGTTAGTTCTAAAGAGAATTGTGAAATAATTCCTTGTATTATTCATTATCAGATTATGCATATATATACAAGAGATAGGAGCCTATGCATTAATGGCTCATTATGAGGAAATAATATCATATCAAATCCTATACTAATTGTATAATATTTACATATCTTTTCATATCTTTACACTCCCCATATACAATCAGAATACTAGACATGATAAATATGAAATAAATGATCTGATTGCTTCAACAATTTTCGTGCAGGCAGATTACATACCAAGATCAACATCCTTGAAGGGACTCCCACTTGCAAATATAATGCTGTCACCCAAAATGGAGAAAGCTTCCTCAGGGGTGCATTCAGCTGTCACGAAATGATAGGACCAGTTACGTTAGCAATAGAATCAGATAAAAAGTAACATGGTGAAAAAATCAGCACCATTGTTTGTCGGGTTTGACATGGCAAATACAGCTGGTCTTGTAGATGTTGAATGCTTGAGGGCTTCTAACACCTGGAAAATAGGACAGAATTATCAGTATATTGATGAAAATCAAGCTAACGTAAAAAATCATATACATCAAAGAAATGGCTGAGATGTGATTATATCCCTCTTTATCCTATTTTACATGCACAAGACAAGCAAATGCTTTGCCGGTAGCCCAGATGGAGTAACTTATCCTATTATTTCAATGCAAATGAATGAAATTATCACCAAGAAATTCTAAACTTACAAACGTTAAAAACATTATTGACTAAGAAAGGGATGGCAAAAGAACCAAGGGATCTAAGTGTACACATTATGCCGGTTGGATTACTTGCTTTCTTCAGTATTCACAAGTTGCTGCAAAATGCTAGGTGCACTAGGATGCATAGTCTTTATTTAAATATAGCACATCCTGTACCTATCTTCAAGAGTAAGAAATAATATGAGGTTCCTAATCTGGTATGGAGATTGAATATTGAGCTATGCTATGGCTTTAGCTGTTATGTAAAATATAAATATTAATAGCTAGGGCCATTATTAATATAGTGTGATGAATGGAGGAAACTTGAGCCCGATTCAGGACCCACCTCCACAGGACCCATTAGTGATCCATGATCCAACAATCAAGCATGGGCCCGGGAGTAAAAGTTAGAGGGTGAAAAGAAAGACCTGGAAGCTGAGGGAATTAGAAGACTATATAATAAGATAAATGACATATGGGAGGGTGTGATTAGAATTGGAATCTTCTCCCTGTGTGGTTCACTCTCTCCCTCCCTTCCTTTTTTCTGCAACCTTTTGTTATTTGTTCTTATTTCTTATTAGATTTCCCTTTCGATGTTGCTGAATCTATGATGAATACGGCTATGATGTATGTTGAGCTTGACCATTAATAGAAGTATTATCTTCTGCCATTTACATTTTTCTGTGCTCATAGCATATAGCCGTTAGAAGAGGGAAGGTAGGATTAGTAGTTCGATTAGCAGCTATAATAGATGTATTGAAGTCTTGTTGTATCAGACTATTTTGTTTTGTTGTGAATAATAGAAGTATATCCAGTTTACCCTCAATTCTTGGCCCTGCTCTCCCTCTATCCGAATCTCTCTTTCTTGTTCTCTCTCTTACCTTTCTGGAAAATACCACAACATTATCCTTGTGAAATTGACACCTTTCTGGAAAATACCACATTAGCCTTGTGAAATTAAATGTCAGAATAATTCTTATAGTACACCCAAGGTAAAAGGCACAAGTGTCTCTGTATTGCTACAGTACAGCAAGAATAAAAATTGAGAAGTCAGTGTTATATATATGCAGTAATTGAGTCTTTGAATAGCACTATTTTGTTTGGTGTCCATGCCTTCTCCGCAACTTTTTCCTTCCCATGTTTCTGAACCAAACCGTTGAGCAATAAACATCTATTGCCAATAGAAACATCAGTCCAGATTATTAAACATTGCGTGCAGTGGAGGATCGCAGTTCCCAGACATCATCGGCTTTGTACATTTTCTATGCCATATTATTGAGCACCTTAAATAAAAGGGATGAATACCCTGATCGAAGATTTGAACTCATGAAACTAAGCTTATGCATAAGCATAACTAACTTTACAACACTTATAAAACTAACAAAATACTTCTGAGAGGAAGATAGCAAAAACTACAGCTGCCAAATTTCAACTTCCCCCTTCTACAAATCCATGGCATCATTGGAAAGAAACAATCTTGTCAAGTTGTAATTTTCTATTTCCTTTAGTATGTTAATTTTGCATAAGCACATGGACATTTACTAGAATATGAGGTATCATCACGGAAAGTACATAAGATGCAAAAATCCATAGGTCAGTAAGGACAAAAAGTGAAAATGGGGGTTTTGGGGGGGGGGGGGGGGGGATAATGTGATGCAATTAGACAAGTTATGAGGAGAACCACACCAAGTTAGCCTCGACTTTGACAGAAAATAATACCCTTAAAATGAATTTTACACACACCTTTGTGTCCTACAACACCCAGCATTGACAAAGTGAGGAGCTCTATGAAGACCCTCCTTTCCACTGGAAGTAATTTTGGGAATAGCTTGGGAGGATCAAAGTGAAAGCACCTCCATACCCTAAGCATGGTCGCTTTGTCAAGGTAAGGAAGGGTTTTAAGTTGATATTTTCTATTGTATTCATAATTTTTAAGGTTACTCTATCTGTTTTAAGGTATCATTATATCATGTATCATTAGTGCCCTAAAACAAGCTTATTGTGTCTACTCAGACAATGATTTTGAAAGTCAATATCCTTCAACTTTTTAGGAGTTCTTACTTAAGTGAACCTCACCCGTTACATATCCACTTGAGGCCTTTATAGGTATTGATATAGCTTCCTCTTAAATGCTCCCCCAATCTTCCCTTTACTAGATCCTTATAAGACTCAGAACTCAGGTTACCCACAGTCATCCAATCTCTCTGGCCCTTTTCCACACGGTCACTCTGGAGGAACCCATTCTTACGTGTTGGCCTCCATCCTTTCTTGAGTTTAGAGAACACCGTTCTTAACTATTGAGAATCTTTTAGTTGTTAAGACTTGAGAAACCTTCGCAGAGGAGATTAAGCCAATATAACCCTTCTTTTCCTAGCTAAGTGCATGTTTTAACTGTTTCACTTTACCTTACCAAGGCCCTCTCAATGACTCAAATTTATTGCTTCCCCCTGGTCCTCTCTACTCTTCAAAGTATCCATCTCCATAACAAGCTTACGTCAATCAGAGTCTTAGCGCACCAAACAAAACTTAAAATTATGCCCCAGGGAAAAATTCAAATTGCAGATAGGTGATTTTTTTTTTTTTTTTTCGGTGCGATGCATTAATGCAATATGAGGACATTGAACATTTGAAAATTTACCTTAAACATTCCAATAGCAAGTAGAGAACATTAACGTAAATCAAATGTTGCTAATCAGACAAAATGTAGAATATCAAATGAATAATCCAAGCTCAACATTAGTTCTATCTATACCTCTTCTGAGAATAATCCTCCAACAGCAGATAATCCTAAAAGCACATCAGGCTTTACTTGCTTCACCTGGATGCCAAAATTTACGCACAGTGCATGCGAAACAGCAGTTAAATTATTAAAACAATAAAAAGTAATTTAAAATATAATGGACATGATAATAAAATCCGATCCAGTGCATGGAAGCAAATAAGACATTGGTTTTTTGTCGTTTTCAAGAAACAGAAGCCACAAGATAACCCAAGGCAAGAGCTGGCTCATGTTTTCATTAAAATGTGATATTTTACAATTGCAATAAAAAGTTCCATTTGATTAAACAGAGCGAGTGTAAGATAGATAATTAGAGGGAAAAAGTAATGCTAATTACTCATGGATTGGGCTTGTCCTAGTCGTATCATCCTCATACATGATCTAATTTATAATTATAAATAGACACAACAGAAGTTTGCATATTACTGGGTTCTGTGTAATACAAGCAGAACATGTTTGAACCTTCTTCAACAAGACGAGTGTTGGTACATGACAGTTATGCTAAAATAAACGTATTCACGTATAATGATCTTGGCGAATTACACAGCCTTTATATTTGATTTATTGCAAATAGACACAGGATTATTTCCATAGCAAGTCAAGCAACCCATTAATCTCTCTCTCTCTCTCTCTCTCTCTCTCTGTTGACATCATTAGCAAGAAGACTTGACAGCACAAATATGGTCACCAATGAAATCGTGATATGACACAAGGCAACTACTTCTGTTTCATGTACATTTTTTTTCATAATCACTCATCATAGATGCTATCTTCTTTTGATGAATTACAAGGCTTCTAACCTAGTCTTCCAAGTGAAATGTGAATCTGATGGATTAAAGATGCAGATTGTTGAATATTCGCTCATGAATGGTAAACCACAAATAATATAGTACATCTAGCTTATCTTTTCAATATGCACAAGATCTAAAAATAGAAATTCAGGCTTGTTTTTTTTTTTCGTTTTTTCTTTTTTTAAGTTTCATAATTACTTCAACACACATGCTGTTCACAAAACTTCAAATTTAAATCATATTTTGATATTTCATAAGCCATACTAAAATGAGAAAGATCATTTTACAAACCACTTCCACAAGGCTAGCACCTTCCTTTAGTCCTTGACGATCAGCCTCTCTCACGTTTCTAGCAAAAGGCACGGCATCTGGGTCAATATTTTCACGTTCTTCTGTGATTAAACCCTACGTTTACAAAAAAGAGTAATTTTTTTGTATCAGTGGTTGGGGGAATCACCCTCAGACATACCAAGTATATCAGCCAATCATACTAGTAGTACAAAATGTAAATCTGACTTACTAAACAATTAGGCCGAAGAAAATGCCAATGTCATAGACAAAATTATAAAATATGAAAAATCATAATCATTGTGATTTATATAGTTAAAAAAAAAAAGTGCTGATTTATTTAGGCAATGAGAATGGGCTGGGATTGGATTTCATAATTAGTACATTGTACTTCTATATTATTGCATATTTTATGTTTAATATAAAGTGGGCAAAAATTCATATTAGTTAGATTCTGAATTCTTATTTTATTCAAATAGATGATTCCTCTCATAAACAGGTATTTGGCATCGAATCCCAACCCCCCCCCAAAAAAAAAAAATCAACCGCTATAAATCCCCCCAAAAAAATGGAGAAATAATAGAAACAGAAAAACAAGACATAATGGGAATAAACACAGGATTTCAACACTCTCCCTCAAGCTAGACTGTATATTTTCAACAAAACCAGCATGGATGTCAAGTCTTCATATTTCATTCTTGATATAGCCTTAGTTAAGATGCCATCCACTTTGCCCCGTCAAGATCCACAAAATGTTTTGCAATACTAATGGTGGCCACATTGCCACAGAGAACTCTCATAGGTCCCTCTATGGTGACTATGAATTGTCCAAGAAGTCTTTTCAACCAGATTCCTCCAACTTTGTTGAAAGGCTCTACACTGCTTTAGCATTGCTCCTGGCCACAACATATTGTTTTATACTTCTTTAAACTACAAGATTTACCCACACAAATATGCAATAACCTGAGGAAGATTGCTTGTTAGTAACTGAGCTAACCCAATCTGCATATGGGTAAACCTCAGCACCATTATTTGTTCCCTTACTGAAATAGACACGGTTGGGAACCACGTTTTAAAATGATGGAACTCATGTATATTAATAATTAATAATAACTAATAAATAGCTCCCCTTCCCCAACGCAAGAAATGAGACTGTTACCCTGATAGATGGTGTATTGGTGTGAGCTTACAAAAAGAAACAGTGTATTACAGCCATGAAAGCAGTAAAAGGTAACACAAGATAAAAATAATGAACAGTGACATGAAGAGAGAGAAAATAGAATGAAAAATTCTTTTCCCATCCATGTCCAAAGCATATCATATCATAATATATATCAAAAAACAAAGCTCCTACCACAGCCTAGAGTTTAAGAAACCAGGGAGTCTCCTCGCCAGAAACCAAAGCCTTCTTTAAACCCTGATTCTCACCCACTACCTCATAATTTTATGCATCTTTTTTTAGGCTTCCTCTATCTTTCTTCATAAGGCTAAAAACTATCTTCCAAACCCTCTTCATTGGCATCTTCATAAGGCACTCTCCTTGCCAGGCACTCTTTTTTGCATTTGTCCAACCCATCATGAACAATTTTGTATCATTTTCACCTTAATAGACGCCACACCAACTTTATCTGATAGTCATTATGAATCTTATCTTTTCAACACCCAACTTTCATGATCATAAAATAACTTAGATCTTATAGCAGTTCAATAAAATTCCCCTTCAAATTTCATAGGTGCTCTATGATCACAGATAACTCCTAACACTTGTCTCCATTTCAGCAACCACACTTATAGCCTATCCATAACATCCACATCAATTTCACTCTCCTTTCATATTATTGTATGATCTTATCTCCAATTTTTATCTTCATATCATTTCTAACTTACCTCTTGTTATACTTACAGTGCATATATTAAATGTTGACCCTACTCAGGCAGAAACACATCAATTTCAAACTCAGTCTTCATAACTCGGATTAAAGTTAATCTCTTGACACTGCAATTAAGATTACGTCATTTGCAATGAGCATGTATTTGGTGATTTCCTCTTGAATGAGCTCAATCAAACGTCCAAAACCAAGTCAGATCCACAAGGACTAAAAAATAATCCATTACGGAGAAAAATTTTTATAAGGAAGCCCTTTGCCTCACATCCAAGGGTTCTCACGCTAGTTGTAACCCCCTCATAAATGTTCTCTATAGCTCTAATCTATGCAATGTGAACACCTTTGTTTCTCTGAAAGGGTATTTAGATTAGCTTTTTAGAAGTAATTTTATGGTATACAAGGTAAGTATGTAAAGAGTTTTCCCTCAGCTCACGTGATTGTAAGGGGTTGCCAAACTCCTCTCAAGGCTTTCCATGGCAACACTCTTGCCACTTGATCATAAGCTTTTTTAGTATCCTTCAAGTATGAGCCACTTGAGATTAAGCCTTTCAAGCACAGCCCACATCAAAACAAAAACAAACTCCAAGATTATTAATAATATAGAATCCTAGTCCTTTAAAATGTATACTCTTTTTTCTTTTCTAACACTCGCCCTAAGTTCCAAAGCACTAGACAGGGTCATGAAAGACAAACACCAATGGTACACAAGTACCCACTAAAATATTAAATAAACAAATGCCATTTCAATCATATATTAATTTGATCACACAAACTGACTATCTTCTAGGTGCTATTCAATACCTTAGCATCAACAACCCAGAATTGACTCTTTGCACTCTCAAAAGCTACTTCATTATTACCCAACATCCTCGCCATTGTTTTCCTTGCAGCATTAAGAACACCAACTCCTGCACTGCATCATCAAAGATATAACCATAAGAAGCCCTGTCATCATCCCAAGTAAACAGATCTCCTCAATGCCAGAAAACTAAGAAAAGATTTACATAAAAAAAGAACCCACGTTTCTCAAACAAAATCAGCTGTGCATTTTAAATTACCTAAAAAAAAGAAGAAATGTTAGGATGTGAACCACAAGAGGCTATATGATGAAATAAAGATATTGTTGATTACCTTCGTACTTGTAGGAATATTTATCATCTCTTGTATAGCTATTATCTTAGCATTCATTAGTTATTATTAAACGTTTTTAGTGTCTATGAGGCTTAATGAGCTTTTATTCTCTTATCTTCGCGTCGGTTACTGGCAAAGGGAGTATCAGTGTTTCAGATTCTGTAGTTTTAGAATTTGCCCTTCATGTGCCTAAACTTGATAGCAGTCTCATTTCAATTTCTCAATTAACCAAGCAATCAAATTGTTTCACTAAATTCCTCCAATGTCATTGTGTTTTTTAGGACCTATCCTCTGGTGTGACAGCTGGAAGTGCTAACGAGTATAAGGGGCTATACTATTTTGAGGTCAACCGAGTGAGAAATTCACTCTCGCCTACAATAAGTCATTATGCATCTGCCTCGAAACTTAATGATTTTATGTTATGGCATAAGAGCATAGACCACCATAACTTCCACTACCTTCAATCGTTGCTCCCAAACTTCAGGCCTAACTACAACATTTGTACCATTCAGTATAAGGTGTGTGAACTTGCAAGAGAACATCAATCCCCCTATCCTAGGGCCACTTATACATCTACCAAACCCTTCAGAAACATACATGGTGACTTGTGAGGACCACTTCGTGTTGCCAACCATAGCCATAAGGATATCTCATGGCTGTCCCTCCCTAATAAAGCATCAGTAGCATGATTTTATCTTCCCAGCTTGTACTGAATATCGAATTTGTAATCATTCAGTTTAGACACCCCTCCCTTTTGATCTGGAGAAATGATGCATTGTTCTAGAAGATGCTTGAGAGCTTTTTGATCAATTTTGGTGATAGAAGGTTTTGCAGCCAAGTAGTGTTGCCATTTCTTCACAGCAAGAACAATGGCAATTAATTCTTTCTCATAAACCAAGCCCCTCTTATTTATCTCTGAAAGTTGCTGGCTAAAATATGCTATGGGTTTCCTTTTCGAGCTAACACAGCTCCCACACCAATGCCACGAGCATCAGCTTCAAGTTTAAAGGGACGTTGAAAATCCAGCATAGCTAAAAACAAGGGCTGTTACCATAGCCGCCTTCAATTTTTCAAAGGCTGTTTAAGCTTTGTCACTCCACTGAAATGCATTTGTCTTAAATAATTCAGCTAGGGGAGCCACAATTCTGCCATAAAAAGGGTAAGGCCTATGAACCCTCTCAAACTCTTAGCACCTGTGGGTGTTGGCCACCTAACCATGGCTTTAATCTTGGCTGAATCAGCCTGCACACCTTGAGCTGAACTTATGTGGCCAAGGTATTCCAATTTGCTCTGCCCGAAGCTACATTTGCCAGGACTAATAACCAGCTCATGCTGCTGTAATGTTTTCAACATCTCCTTCAAGTGTTCTAATTCTAATCCAAATTTATTGTTAATCATAATACTACTAATCTTTTTAAAATCCTATTTTCTTTATTTGACTGTAATTTTTAATTTAAACTCTGCCTATGTTGCATAGTCAATCCCAAGCCCGGGTAAAAGAGGAGGGTTGTGTTAAGCACTCGACAGCCAACGTAAAACTCTGTCGAATCTTTTATGACATGGATCAACGAAGAAATTGTGTTACTGCTAGATCGTTGCCCAGAAGTGACGTACTGTATGGTTCGAGTACAGTGAGAAATGAACAAAAGCCGCTGCATTGTGACCCGAATATAGTGTTAAATGAGCAAGGGCTACTACACTCTTATGGACAAAGGCGGCTAAAGAAGTTAGTTCATGAAAACAAAATCAAGTTTAGCACTTGGAACGTTGGGACACTGTATGGTAAATCAAGAGAGGTGGTGGAAGTAAAAAGGAAGATTAATATTTTGTACCTACAAGAAACTAAATACGCTAGAGAGAAGACCTTCGAATTTACTAATGGATTTAAACTTTGGTATACGGAAAAGGTAGGCACAAGGAATGGAGCTGGTATTATCATTGATAATGAATGGAAACAGAATGTGGTGGGAGTCAAAAGGATAGAAGACAGAATCATTTCTTTAAGAATAATGGTGGGGAGGGATACTATCAATGTGATTAGTGCTTATGCACCTCAAGTAGGAGCGGAAGACCATCTTAAGGAGAAATTTTGGACGGATATGTGATTACCAACCATGGAAAAGATTTTTATTGGCAATGATCTTAATAAACATGTTGGTAAAAACACAGGATGATGTATTATTGTAATTATTTTTAAATAGTAGTAGGAGCAACGGTCACTAACTGTTAGGAGAGTTATTTAAGTAGGATTAGTTTTGTAATTAGGCCTATAAATAGACATGACCAGGGTAATTTCATGAATATACAGCACACTATTCAGTATGCTCTCTATTTTTCTCTCTGTCTTCTCTCTTGGATCACCCCTCCTCTGATTCTCTCCTCCTAATTCCTATCTTTCTCCATTTTTCTCCTTCCCTGAACCCTCTTCTATCTCTCTTTTCTATTTCTATCCTATCAATGGTATTCAGAGCCCATCTTTCCTCACACTATTTTCTAAAATCATCCTTGGTGTACGGTACTTACCCGTGGCCAGGCGAGAATAATGGAAGAACGCTTGGCTTTGATCGAACAACGCCTAGGCACCATCGATGAACTCCAAGAAACAGTCTTGGGCTTCAATACTCAATTACAGAACCTTGTTTGAGATTTTCGTGAATGTGCTATCATTGCCCAGAACCATGACCACGAGCGACGCCCTGATCAAGATCGACGAGGAAACAAGAATGGGTATCAACGACCGACCCAGCTGACGAAAATGGACTTTCCAAGATTCAACGGTACCGACGTTCTTGCATGGATTGCGCGCTGTGAGCGATTCTTTGAATTTGATGAGACTCAAAGGCGTCGAAGGTGAAGGTCGCGTCATTGCATTTGGACAATAAGACCTTCAAGTGGCATCTGGCGGTCAAAAAACAGCCTAGGGGACGACCGATGGGATGGGAGGAATATGTCGACCTGCTCCGAGACACGTTCGGCCCCTTGCTCGACACTCCCATGGCCGAGTTCACTCATCTGCATCAAACGGGCTCCCTGGCAGACTTGAACGCCGAGTTTGACTCAATCACAGCAAAGCTCGATCTCTCAGAAGACTACCTTGTGGATGCCTATGTCTCGGCTCTCAAACCAGACATTGAAGTCTCGGTTCAGATGTTCAACCCGAGAACATTGCGTGAGGCTCGGAGGCTTGCGAGGATTCAAGAAATAGCCATATTGAAGCAAACCAGTAAGAACGCGTCCCTCAAGTCTGTATCCCACGTGTCTATTGCAAACCAGGTGGCGTCTTCTACTCCAAATACATTGACTCAACCGAAAAACACTTCCTTGAGCAATGGGTCCCACCCTAAGGATAAGTTTTCTTCATCTTTCAGAAACTCTTCTACATCTTTAAAAAGAACACTAAAGCGTGTTTAAAACCTTATCTGCAGACGAGGAAGCTGACCACAGGGCCAAGAATCTCTGTTTCTTCTGCCATGAAAAATTTTCCAGAGATCACAAATGCCCACAACGTCAGAAAATGCAACTTCATTTTGTTCTTTTGGAACACGAGGACAATGCTGAAGAAGATTTGGAAGCCATAGAGGGGGATGACGCAGAGATCAGTCCACGCATATCCTTACATGCTATTGAAGGGACCAACAGTGCAGATGCCATGAGGGTCCAAGGGACTATTAAAAAGCGTGCCATTCAAATCCTTGTTGATAGTGGCAGCACACATGATTTCATGGACCTTGGGCTTGCCAAGAAGCTGGGATGGGAAACTGATACAAAAGACACATCCTTTGTATCAGTAGCAGATGGCTCAAAGTTCATGGACTTTGGGAAGGACTTCGTTGGAAAATGTAGGGCCTAGAATTTGTTTTTTATTTCAGAATTTTAGATCTTAAAACTTATGATTTAGTTATTCGTTTAAAATGGCTTAAAAGTATTAAAAATGCTTTCTAGGATTATGAAACTCTCACTACGTTTTTCTGGTATGAAGGGAAGCTGCAGAAATTACAGGCTAACATTCCAAACACCTGTCAAATGGTGCAACTAGCAAAGATTGAAACTGCTCATTTGAAGGAAGAACAGCTCTTCCTCCTACAATTGGTCACCAGAAGGGGAACGGAAGTCCAATGCCTTGCTGTTTCACATGAGGACAACAGTATTCCTACTGAAATTCAAGGGGTCCTGGATGATTTTCATGAAGTTTTTGGGGATCCTAAGGGATTACCTCCTTTAAGAGAGGGCCATAACCATCCTATTGTTCTCAAAAAGGGGACAAATCCTATTAGTTTGAAACCTTATATATACCCAACAGCACAAAAAGATGTTATTGAAAAGATTGTAAATGAATTATTAGAGTGGGGTAATTCAGGATAGTTGCTCACCCTTTTTAGCTCCTATAGTATTAGTAAAGTAAAAAGATGGGACATGGAGGATGTGCATGGACTATAGAGAGCTTAATAAATATACTGTCAAAAATCAGTACCCCATTCCTTTAGTAGAGGATCTTTTTGATGAATTGAGTGCAGCTAGGTGGTTAACTAAGCTAGACCTTAGGGCTAGCTACCACCAAATTCGTATGGAACCAGAGGATACTCATAAGACAGCTTTCAAAACCCATTTTGGACACTGAGTGGCTGGTCATGCCTTTTGGCTTGACTAATGCACCAGCCACTTTTCAGGGAGCTATGAATGACATTTTTATACCATTTCTTAGAAAATTTATTTTAGTTTTCTTTGATGATATATTGATTTATAGTTCTTCTCTTGCAGACCATTAAGAACACTTACAGATAG